AAAAGGCCATGGTTACTGTATGGTGGTCAGCGGCTGGTGTGATTTACCATAAATTTCTGCAACTGGGCCAAACAGCAGAGTGCTATTGTGAGGAAATCGAATAAATATACCGGAAATTGCGTCAGCAGCGGCCGGCACTGTTTAACAAAAGAGGTCCGATCCTGCTCCACAAATTAGTCTCACCGTCCCAAAATTAGACAAATTGAGCGTCGAAGTTCTGCTTCACCCACCATACACCCCAGACCTCTCGCCAACTGAATACCATATTTTCAAGCACTTCAATAACGTTCCCACCAGTAGAATCTCCTCCAATCAGGACCAGGCAAAAATAACCTCCATCGTCTTCGTCGAATCTCCAGCACTCAATTTTTATGCTGACGAAATCAAGCGGATTGTGTTGCGTTGGCAAAGGTGCTTTGATTAGAAATGCGCTTATTTTGAATAAATTGAGTATTCAATTAGATATTTCCGTTCAAAATATAGGCATTAAAAAGGACAAAACTTTTGAAAAGACATGATATAAAGGGTGTTTCAAATTCGAACCTCACCATTGGATTCTCGGAAACTATACGAAGATACGAAGATGGTTGAATCAGGGAAAAGTTGTGTATTCACTTGACTTACAATATGCCGTTGAGAAAGTTCTGAAATTCCGAGTATATCCGGAGATATCCGGAAAAAACAGAAATTTCGGAAAATGGTTTTTATTTTTTTCTGACTTTATTTTTTGAAGGATTCGAAAATGAATTCCACTTCCACATTGCCACTTTTTCTCTGCTACATAATGATGTTTTCATATTTGCTATCCGGCGTTTCGTCTTCCGGCCACCATCATCAACTTTATTTTTTCTTATGGGCGCTACATTGGATTCTTTCTGTTATGAATAGAATCAGATTTTACCTTTTCAATGATGTATCATAAGTTATCATTCTTTCTCAAAAAATTGGAGATATTGAAAAAAAAATAATTCTTATCATAATAGGCTTTGACTTTGATGTTTCAAAATTTGACTTTTAATTTGTTACACTCAATGACTTTTTGTTATTGTACAAGTCATTGAATTTTTGGCAAAAATGGGTTTCACGAATGAAGGAAAAAGAGATATGATACAAATTTATAACAAATACGATAGAAACAGTATCAGGACATCGGAAATGTATTTCAACTTGTATCCCGAAAGACGACAACCACATCGAACTTGTTCAAGTTATTGGATCAAAATATCATCGAGTTTGATTCATTCGAAGAGCCGAGGTATGTATGTGTTACACATTGTGTCCTTTTTAATAAAGATTAATTATTTGCAGATAAACATGAACCTGGGGAGATCTACACGTCAAATTTCCTCCGAAATGAATAATTGTCGTAAAATTGCTTGGTCACATCTCAAAAAAAGCAGTTTAAAATGTTACAAAATTCAAATATTTCAAAAATTGCATTCAGGTGATACCGAAAGGCGATCAAAATTTTTTAGTTGGTTAATAAGAAGACCTGATTTTTGTGTTTTCCTGGAAAATTCAATTTGGACAAATGAAAGCACTTTTATAAATTGTGGGATATTCAGCCGAAATAACGAACACATTTGGAGCATAAACAACCACAGGCAGTTCCGAGAAATTCGACAGTTTTTAATGTCGATTTTCGAAGACTATTTGGATGATCTACCTTTGGCTAACTAAAACATCCAGACGAGTATCTAATTACCTGTCTGAAAGTTTTGGTAATAAATAAATAAGGAATAATTGTCCGGTGAGGTGGCCAGCAAGGTCTCCAGACTTAAGAGTTATAGATACATTCTTATGGAGTACACTGAAAAATAGAGTTTATAGTCAGAGGGAATACCAAAATATTGGGGACCTTCAACACAGCATTGTTGGAGAGTTTGGAAGATTGGGGAGGAGGGTTATTAAACGTGAAGTGAAAAATATTCGAAGAAGGGTACAGTTGTGTTATCATGAACAAGGCCAACATTTTGAGCATTTCCTGTGATTCACTTTTGTCTTTACATTTCAGTTAATTATTGTTATTTGTTCAAAGTTCTATTTTCATTAAAAAGGACACAAATTCTAATTTACCTCATACACACCTCATTCCTCAAATTTTGATTATTGATTCGGTTTCCTTATTTTTTCATTGGCTTTTCAAACGAATCAAATTCGGTGATATTTTGATCCAATAACTTGAACATAGTTCGATGTGGTTGTCGCCTTTCGAACGACTTCCTAACACTGTTTCTATCGTATTTGTAATACATTTGTATCATATATCTTTTTTCTTCATTCGTGGAAGCCATTTTTTGCCATATATTCAATGACTTGTACAAGAACAAAATGTCATTGGGTGTAACAAATTGAAAGTAAAATTTCGAAACATCAACGTCAAAGACTATTATGATAAGAATTAATTTTTTTCAATATCTCCAATTTTTCGAAAAAGAATGATAATTTATAATACACCATTGACAAGGTAAAATCTGGTTCTGTTCAAAACAGAAAGAATCCAATATAGCGCCAATGAGAAAAAATAAAGTTGATGATAGTGGCCAAAATACGAGGCCATTATGTAGCAGGAAGGAAGTTGCAATGCGGAATTGCAATTTATTTTCGAATCCTTCGAAAAATAAAAACCATTTTTCGAAATTTCTGTTTTCTTCGGATATCTCTGGATATACTCGGAATTTCGAAACTTTCTCAACGGCTTATTGTTAGTCAGGTAAATAGGCAACTTTGCCCCAATTTAATCATCTTCGTATCTCTCATAGTTTCCGAGATTCCAATGGTGAGGATCGAATTTGAAACACCCGGTATGATTATGAATCATACAGAATTCGATTGAATAATATTATAAAGCTGACAAAAATCAATATTATAAAAACAGATTAAGTACAATAAATGGAAATTGTAAAAAAACGTGGTAACTTGTAAATGAAATAACTGGAAAAAACTCATTAATAAAAACAAAAATCGGTAATAAAACGTTCAAAAATCAAAACGGAAAACCAATCTCTGATGAAGAAGATAATCCTAATAATTTTAACGATTATTTCACTAATATTGGAACTGAAATGGCAAAAAACATTAAAAAAATTAAAAAATTACCTGATCATTTCCTCAAAAACACCATGCAACAAGAGTTCATGTTTCTGAAACCAATAACACGAAATGAGCTGATTGAAATTATATTCAAGCTAAAAATCAACTGTTCATCTGGTCCTGATGGCATTTCTTCGATACTCATAAAGAATATTCATTCATTCGTTATATCTCCAATAACTCACATGATGAATTTGATTTATAAAAATGGTAAACTATCACACCAATGTGAAGAGTCAATCGTTACCCCCATATATAAGACAGGTGAGCGTGATGACATTGGAAACTATAGACCAATATCGGTTATCAATAATTTCACTAAAATATTTGAACCTCAATGCAAAAAAAATACTAACAGACAGACAGTTGGGTTTCATTAGCAACTCCAGTACCGAAAAAGCAGTACTAGATTCTGTACAAAAAATAATTGGAGTATCAGAAAAATGTTTAGCTATATTTCTAGACCTAGCTAAGGTATCCGACACCGTTGATCATGACATGCTATTAAAAAAATTACATGGGTATGGTATACGTGGCCCAACGTACAATAAAGGTCAAAGTTGATAATAGCCTGAGTGAAGCAATGAAAGTTAAAACAGGAGTACCACAGGAAACAGTTTTAGGTCCGATACTATTTCTTGTTTACATTAATAGTATCTGTTCCATCAACAATTTTGGGGGTCATGTCATATCATATGCGGACGATACAGCACTCATATTCACAGGTAGTAATTGGAAGGAGGCATTTGAAAAATTAGAAAAGAGACTGAAAGATATCCAGATATGATTTGATCACAACCTTCTGAGTCTGAATTTGAAAAAAATCAAATTCATTACATTCACCTTATTACAGAACGATCAACCTGGAAACAACATAAAAAAAATCTGATAAAATCTGTTATTATCCATATACATGACAGAGACTGTACTAATACAAAAAATTGCAACTGTGTTGTTATAGAAAGAATGAAAATGATTAAGTATCTGGGAGTTATAGTGGATCGGCATATGAGGTGGGATGACCACATAAACTATGTTGTAAAACGGCTCAGATTTTTAACAAAAAAATTCTATGAATTGAGAAATATTCTGGAATACAAAAATTTGATCACCATTTACCAGTCTTTAGCAGAATCTGTAATGAGATACTGTATTGCTGCCTGGGGTGGTACATTTAACAATTCTCTCAATTCCCTCCAAATATCTCAAAATACAATCTTGAAAATATTATTCAAAAAACCTAAACTATACTCTACCGAATGTCTATATAAGGAAACGCAGTTACTGAAAACAAGAGAACTCTATATCCACAAATGTTTAACTTGGGTGTGCACAAAAAAATTTACACTTCAATCAACAAACAAAAAAAACAAACAAGATTCGTTACTGGCTCTTCCATATTCCATAAACATACAAACATTTAATAAAAGTCACACACAGAGATGTATTTTCTATCACGGTCCAATATTATTCAATCTTCTGCCAGTTAACATAAGAAACAATCCCAAATCTCAATAAATTCAAAAAATCAATCAAAACACAACATGTTCAATACCGAACTTCTAGATTTATTCGGCTAAACATAAACGATGTTCAGCAAGCTCTTCATCATTCCCAATGGTCATCAATTCTGTAAATTAATTAATCGAAATGTGTGTATATAGATATAGATATGAGATAGTTAATGGCATATAATTGAATACCCTGAGTGGTAGATGGAAAGCGCAACACAAGAACTTTAGTTACATCCATCCTCACACTGAGGGTAATAAAACTGTACATATAAACTGTAAAAACTTTAAAAATGATGACCCATAAATAAATCTTGAAATCTTGAAATTCTTGAAAATCTGGTTTTAACTGGAATGCTCTGTATATCTATGTCTTTCATGTATTTGTCTTTACAGGTTGGTATGAAGACAATTGGTTCGAAGTAGTCATTGAGAAGGAGGGAATCGAGTGCACGGTGGAGCAAATGAGGCAAGCAGCTGAAGGGCATATCACCACAGAAGCCCTCATGTGGAACCAGAACTTAAACGAACGGACGATATCTGGAATGACGTCTGAGGATTTTAGATTGAAACTGAATGACGTGTTGAGAAGTGAGGGCTACGATATCGCAAATCAGAGGTATCCAGAAGGTTATCAGGAAGCGCCGTTGGCTTATGATGCAGTTTGGAGCGTGGCATTAGGTAATGATAATAATGAAGTGATATATTCATTAGGAAGTACAGACTCAGCTCACAAAACATGAGAAAAGCACCAAAAGGGAGAATTTGGCAGCAGCCGTTCTTTCATGCCTCTCATTGAATCAATGTATTCTCATGTTCACTATTTCAACATTATTGAGTACAATAAAAGAGGTAACAAAACACTAACTGAATCAATGTCTTTCCTGAAGACCGTATTTTATTTCATTTTTATTTGAAGACAGTGAAATAAAGTCTTATTTCATCAGGAAGAGATTCAGTAATTGAATTCTAATTTATATGCAGATGTCAACTTGATTGATGAATTAATGAATGGCCAAAGACTGTAAGCATATGAGATAGATAAAAAGTAAATTTTATAAATAAGAGTGGATTTCAGTTGATTTGGTCGAAACGTTGGTTGGCTATATTTGTAGTTTATATAATGTTGTGAATCATGCTATAAAGAAAATAACGCCGGCCGCCACTGATAGCCATAAACTGATTGTGACGTAGCTAAGAGCTCGCGAATGTATGATGTTCGCTGCGCCTTCTAGATACAGCTAGGATAATGTTATCGACTTCGATAGAATGGGCTTGTTTCATCATTTTTGGTTTATAGTTCACTTGATAGAAATTCCAAATTGAAAAACAGTGCACTTTGTTTCAGCTCTCCAAGTACCATAGTTTTCCCGTAGTTAATTATTATTGTGGAATTGGCCGCGGTGGTAGTGCGCCCGACTCACGATCGGAAGACCGTGGGTTCGATTCCTGCCTCAACCAGATATTTTTCTCGAGAGAATTTGTCTGGTTGAAGCTGGGATGATTCTGCAACCGTGTTAGGAATCACACGTTAAAAGGTAAGACCTCGTTAGTCCTTAGCTCGCAAAAGTTTCTCAACTTCTGAGAGTTGTCGTTTGTATGGGGGCGATAGATGATTAACGGAAAAACAGATTTCAAAAAACAGATTTTAATAAATCGAATAAGGTAGACCGGTTACGTCACGTGCCTATTCCCACTTCTTGTTCGATTGACCAATAGGAACAATAGAAATGATTAACATTGCCAAATCGTAAAATTTACGAAGCCTATAATTATCAATTTAATTATAGAAGTGTATATGACCCCGTTAACGTTTCAATTAATGAAAAATTATCCACGTGGAATGAAATGTACACGAAAAATCATATCTATATCTAAAATCAGTAAACAAAGTCGAAAGATCACAAAATATTCACCTAAACTATGATTTTATGCATTATTTAATAATATACAGCTATGAAAATTAAAACATATAGCAAAATGGATTAAAGAAGAATTTCAAATATTCAGTTTATTCTACAATCAACAATCTGTACAACTGCAATTTATTATAAAAAAAACGATTCCTACATACATACCTCTTTCTAATATTGCAACTGTTGAAGATACTGTATATAAGTTTAATATTTTTATTTTGGCAGATTAGACACTTGTTTTAAGACAATTCAATATTGAGAATTCACTGTGAGTCAAGTTGAATAAAAGTTGCATTTAAAACGGTATTAACCAGGTTTATTAAATCGAAAAGTTTCAACAGCTACAGCTTCACAGGCTCGCTTGGGTAATCTGTTGAATCCTCCAAAGCTTGAGAGGAAGGTTGAATGAGGTCAAGTATAGACAGAATTGATTGTACTCGAACTGATCCAACAAAAGCTTCTGAGGTAATACCATTTATCATATGATAAAATTTAATGAAGTAAAATGAAAAGCATTTGATATTTTTGTGTCTTTCTGTGGAGAATACTAGAAGTTGAAATAAAAAACTGTGTCATCAAATTCAATATTTTCGTTCCTTTTTTATTTATAGTCACTTTTTAAATGAATCTATGAGGTCTTAGAAGAGTAGAAGGATTGTAGTTCTTTCTTTTCAATACTTTCACAAATTTTTTTCCTCATCATTTCATGTGTCTTTCCGCACAATCAAAATCAGTACAAGAATGCAACATATTAATATTCAAATATATCTCTTAAACACTTTGAAAACACACACAAACTAAACTCCATGAAAAGACGAATTTTTCCTACGCGAGCTGTCAGCTAAGAAAAAGTTGAAACTGAATGTTGCAAAAACAAGAAGAATAGATCCGATATGACATACATTTTCAATGCAGAATAAACCAATAAATTGTGATATGGGTACTTCTTTTTCCTGAGAAAATGAACGATCAATTAAAATTTTCTGTGATTATTCATTGATTTTTTTCAAAGAATAATGCCAGCAAACATTAATATACAATAATAAGATCGCTCGAATCCTCGAATTAGGCATAAAAATGGATAATAATATTTGCCTTGATAACTAGTATAGTAGGGGAAGGGTGGGCTTAGTGGCCACTGCGGGCAAAGTTGCCACTTGAAGTTTTCTTCCCTGTATAGTGCTGCAGCCTCGCGGCAATAGTCACAACTACTCGCCCGGCAGCCGTCGTTATTGTGTTGTAGTTTGGTGCTGCTCAGACCCATTATCACCGAGATATCGCAAATTTTCCACTTTTTCGACCCTCTGATGTTAGGTGAGTGCATCACATGTTCCGCTTTATTTCATTGTAGGCCTAAGTGAAGTGAATTGTACATCAATCGTGCAAAACAACATGTTTCTAGCTTTGAATTCATATGTCTCAACAGTAGATACTACAACAGGTTGTACCTACAAGTTATATTCAAATATGATTCAGAATAGCGAGCTGTATTTTCAAATGGTTTTCGAATGCTCATGAACCCTAATAAAATAAATCAATCATGCATTCATACCACCCACGAAAAATAAGAAATTTAACGTTACTGGTATATTAGCCATATTGTCATCCAGTCAGCCAGCGCCCTCTGTAATGTATGCGACAATGTGCTCTTGCGAATGTTAATGGTTTACACACATAACTACGCATTTTTGCTAAAATAACTTCAAAATGAATGTTTTACTTGAAAAATTTGCAATACTTTCAATAAATTGATGGATGTAGCCGTTACTACGTGGTAGGTAATCATAATGAAGAGAAAAGATTTAAAACTTTCTATGTTTTTTACCACTTTTATTTCTAAATAACGTTATTGCAGTTTCAATTCTCTTTTCTTCATTGCAATACTTTGGTACCGAAATGAAGAATGAAAAAATGATACTGTAGGTGGTATATTTAGTAGGTCTTTTTTATTTATATGACATTTATTTCAGACTTTATGTTTTATCGAAGGATGGAAAGTTTTGATTCAATTTTTATTTTAGCTCGGCCTACTGAAGAAAACCATAGATTTTTTAAAGTTTCGTTTTTTGGAAATCTGAAACACTTTTTCCTGATATGGATTATCTGTTTTTACAACTAGGTATAAAACATATTTTAACCATTTTGGTGGTAGTAATGGTAAAATTCAATCCAAAAATTATCTGAAAAAATATATTTTGGAATGTAAACTAATGACAAAAAAAACGTTCTTTAATTAGATAATTGTAACAGTTGTATTCACACCGAATTGACAACAATAACAACAAAAATGGCGTCTGTCAAATTGGATCATTAGATCTGTGATTGGATATTAAAAACCAATAGACTTATCAACTCCGCTTTAGAAACGATCAATTTTATTGGTCAACAGACACGCGGTCAACTTAAATTCTAGCTTTTCGAATTGTTTCTTTTTTTTTCTGTAAATATAAAGAGATTTTGGGACCGATTAGGCTTAATAAGTATAATATACCCCTAACTTGATCAGTCTATGAGCAAACCAGTATCATTTCCCATAGTATGAAACAAGCTCATTCCGAAGAATGTTCCGGCGCCTTCAATTGAAGCAACATCCACTCGCTCATCGAAAGAGTCAAATGAAAGTCACAGTGCGGTACGCGGAGCGATCTAGTAAGGCGATAGACATTAGAATAATAGTTGAAATTTTAGTTGAAGTGTTTGTTGTATTTGAAGTGAAATGAAGGTAATTTTGATTATTGTTCATTGTAGTTAATTATTGGTCTGTATACAAAAATTTCAGAATGAAAAATCCCTCAAGAGCAACGCTTTCGCCAAACATTCAATTCAGTGTAATAAACTGTGTTAGAAATCACACGTTGAAAGGTAAAACCTTGTTAGTTCTTAGCTCGTACAAGTTTCGCAACTTCTGAGAGTTGTCGTTCGTATGCGGGCAACAGCTGATTAACGGAAAAATAGATTTCAAACAGAACCAAAACTGATTCAACATGAATGAAGGAAAATAGTTATTAACAACTGACAATTATTTATTCCTGCAAGATTACGATAGAGTTGAACAAACTCACCATGCATTGACATCGATGACATTTCTGATATCAAAATAAACACTGTGTGAGGGTAAATGAACCCTTTCAATTCTGAAAACCGACGAGTTAGTAATTTTATCATACAGTAGATTTTGTCACACCCTTGCAAAAAAAGTATGGAACTCAAATGAAGTTGGATCATTCCATTCCGTTGAAGTTCACCATTACTGAAGGCCATTAGATGCGAAGTTTATTAGAGAATGATTCTTCAGTGAGTTTGTTAACTAGTTGGCACAACTCCAGCATTGTTTCGTATCGGACTAATTGAACAAACCGACGGAACATTTTCCACGTAAACTTCAAACGAAACAGATAATTCACTTTATAACAGTAATTTTCCTCTGTTCGTGGATGAAAAAAGTTTTTTCGAGGAATTTCATTAAGTTTTGATTTTCTTAATTTACTCGGAGAACGAAGTTTGTTTGTTATTCAGCTGCAACAATATGAATTTAATTGGAGTTCACCCATCTCTTATTGCTCTTTGCTTTTGAACGAATTTTATACTTCCCGAAAGAATAAGCATAATGTTTGGATAATCGTTTCAGGGTTTGGTAATATAGAATATAATTTCATAATAATGATAATTTTTTATCAACAACGATATATTTCTACTGAAAAAACGATCTTATAAGATACTAGGCAGGTTAATATTAATAGATTAGCTCTGCAACTATATACACCT